TCTCGGCCCCTTGAAAACGAAGGCACCCCAACCCCCCCCCTGCCGTTCCCCATCACATGCCGGAGTCGCCTTGCGGCAGCGCGTTTCGCAGGGTGGGCTGGTTGGCCCTCCTGCCCGCACAGCCTGGCTTTTCCCTGAGCCCTCCCTGGGGAGGAGGGTCTTGGCATGGCAGCAGCCTTGCTGACACCCGGGTTGACTGTGTGGTGGCCACACGCGTAGACCTCCTCGCAGGCGTGAGGCCAGCCTGTTAGAGGAGTGGGCCTTGAGCCAGCATCCTGCCAACTGCAAAGGCAGCCACGCAGGTCTCCTTTCTCTGAAAGCAACACGTGCACGCACCTCCCGCCCTCCGCTCTGGCACAGCCGGCTCACCCCCATCGGCCATGGCGCAGGGGCTTTGGCTGTGCTTTTCCGTGCAGCTTCCTCCTCACCTTAGGGCGTGGGAGGGTTGAGTGTCGGATGGGGCCAGCCTGTAAGTATGAAGGGCTGTAAGCAGGGGCAGGAGGAGCCTCTGCTTACACTTGGAGGAGCTTTTCCCATACAAACTGTGCCTGTATCTTCCTTTCAGCTAGTCAATAGCAGGAGACAGAAAGGATGGGGTGAGCAAGAAACATAGCAGCAGTTAGCCAAGCCCCACCATGTTGGGACAGAGGGTGGTGGTTCTCAGTCACGGACACGATGAAAGTTTGAAGCCTTTTCTGAACCAAGCACTCCCTAGTTTATACCCCTTGATCAAGCTCCACCGTCTTGAACAGAGTTGCTGCTGCAGCTCTCTGCCAGTGTACGGACAGTGTCTGTCCATCACCGCCTCCCACCCCTCCACCCGGGGGATGTTGCTTTTTAGTTGCTAATATCAGTGTTACACCAAAAGTTCTTTGCTGGAGCCAGGAGGGTTTTTGCAACCAGTGCCAGGTTTGGCCTTGCTTGTGTAGAAGACAGAAGGGAAAAAAAAAAAAAAACTCACCATCAAAAAAAGCCAAGGCCCAAGCACAGTAGTTGGCCTTCTGCCGCGGCCAGAGCCGGCAGGCAGGAGAGGGCAGGGCCCTTCCCTGCAGCTGGGGGCTGCCTGGGCCGTTTGGGTAGATGCTGGCACAGCTCTGCACCCCTGAACACCGCATGGACCACCCCCCCGCAGCCTTCGCTTCACTTGCCATCATTCGGATGTTTAAGCGAGCCCTCCCCAGCATTTACTTGAGACAATGTTCCGGCTGAAGTTTTCATACATAAATAAATAGTTCAGAGTCCAAAGCTCCTTACCGTTGCCTGCGATAACTGTGAAGCACTTCTGCGTAGTCGGCCAAAAAGGGCTGATGAGCATTCAATGTTTTCCCGCCCCCCTGGGCCCTGCCGAGAGGGCGATGGCGAGCGCTGCCCCCCCTCATCTGTAGCAACCGCCTGCGCGCAACGCCTCCGGCCTCCGGCGCGCTCGCTGAAAGCGTTCAAAAGTTGTAAATGGGAAGTTTTTGTTACGCAATAAAGAGCTTCACTCCGGTGGTCTGGAGAGGGTTTTATGGCCATGGATGGGTACGTGCGTGTTTCTGCGTCACCGCG